TAATAGGGGAGAAACCGACTTGAAAATTGAATTTCTGGAGAATCCGTGCAATTTTATAGCTATCAGAAGGATAAAATGGAAGCACGACAAGGTCATTGATATTATTTCTAACAGTAGAATGTCTTCTTTGATGGGAATCTGAAAATTTTTTGACGGCTTTATCAATAATCACGGGAGAAAATCCACGGTCAATTGCAACTGCTCTCAAATAATTAAGTTCATTGGTAAGCAAAGATTCAGAGGAACAAACTTTTAGCGCGCGGAAAACATAATAGTAAAAAGAAGCCATTTTTTGCTTAACAGGGTGGCATGACTTGGCATGGGGTGGTAAACAAACTGCAAAGGGTTTACGGTACACAGTGGTGCTAAAATCGGTTTCATTGCGGATTATAAGAATATCGAGGAAGGGGAGGGAATTGTTGGATTCAATTTCAAGAGTGAATTGGATGGCTGGATCAATTGAATTCATAATAGATAGAATCTCGGATAAATCCTCTTTATAACCGTCAAAAAGTGCGAAAGTGTCGTCAACATACCGAATCCAAAGACGAAAAGATAATTTATCAAAATAGTGCATATAATCTACGCTAAATATAAGGTTGTTTTTTACGATTTTGATTATTGCTTTGTTATTTTTAAAATGAAGAGAGGAGTTAAAGGGCTATTGTCAATTTATTGTTTCAAAGGTAAATATTTTATATTTTACATATGTATATAAATCAGAATTTACAAACTGATTTTAAATTCGATTTATATAAGGATTTTCAATTTTGGCTGAATTTTGCAATAAAATCTTACCTTATAAAGTATTTTCTCTTTCCTTTTCGTAGTCTAATTGGAAGCATACTCAACGCGTATTCTAGAGATCTAGGGTTCGAGTCCCGGGGAGGACACTACAAATTTTTTACGTCTCTTGCTTAAAAAAAAAAAAAAAAAAAAAAAAAAAACCTAATGACTCTAAAACCTCTCAGGGTTATATTCGGACATATGCAGTACTTCTTTTATTAGAATACACTTAATGCCGATTTTTCCTTCTATTTAATACTGCAAATTAACTTCTGTTAACTTGTTGGTCATAAGATATTAAATAGTTGTTAAATGGTCATATGATATTAAAACTTCTTGTAATGCTAACAAAAGGAATATATGTGGTATTCTTATAAAATGTTTTTACTAAATAAATCGCTTTTGATAACGTTGCAGTGAAATACTTTTCCTTGGATAACTTAATTACTTACCATGAAATACAGCGAAATTTCTTGTTGAGACTATTTTTCAAAATGACCAGTATTTGTAAGAACCCAAATAAGCATCTGCGTTGATAATTATATATATCCTCTAAGATTATTATACCTTAACTAGAATAGAACAAAGCTATTAAAAGCAAATCGATAATCACAGTTATTGACAGTCACTTTCTCAAAGGCGATAAAACCTCAACAAAAATTCAAAAATCCTTTGATGTGATATGTGGTCATTTTAGGAAAGTTTCACTATATTTCCAAAGTTATTGCAAAACATTTTGTACTTTTGTTCTTTTGAGCATGCGCATCGTTGTTTTAGGCATAGTACGAGGGTTGCTATTTATATTTCTGGTCTAATAATGAAACAATGAATGCTTATGATCGAAATTGGTTTTATCAAAGTTCAGTTTTTCAAAATATTCAGTTTTCCATGAAGATCAATATACTTTGCATGCGTTTGAACCAATTTTCGAAGCACATTTTCCACTGTGACTGAGGTAACTCCAAAATATAAGTTGTGAATTGCATCAACCGTTCCTTTGCGTGTCGCATTTCTGGTTTAAATCGAAACACAAATATAATAGATTAACTAAGATGTTGACTAAAGCACTAAAACTCGGGTAAAACAAAACTGCGCTCTACAACTGAAAAAGAGTACCAACAGCGATCTATGCCTCGGCAATTTTTCCCTTCCGACTTAACTATCAGTATTTTATAAAAGAGGAAAGCAAATGCAGTCAATTCCCGATTCACCAGGGGAGCAGGATAAATCGGTCCTTGTTTAATAAAAACGGTTAATTTTATTTATTGCAAAACGATGGAAAAATTACTGTCAAAAACCTTCGAAAGAAAACAAAACTTCTACAACAAATGGAAAACGGAATGCGTGAAACAGCAGCAATGATAATAGATGAGGGTAGAGCATTTAGGAATTGTCTTTAACCTTTTATCCATTAATGAAAATAATTTAACGGCAAGTACTCTGGAATTTATAAGTAGCAAAAATAAATTACGTATATTCTAACGATTATGCTTTTGTTTCCCATTGATTCCTATCGAAATCCAAGAATATCGTAAACAATTTTTTTTTTTTTTTTTTGTTTTGAATTCTGAGTTAACTTACATAACCACATACATTTGTTTTCCAAATTAAATTAATTAGTGCTTAAAAATGCTCTTGAATTGTTAATATATTTTCTGTTAATTATAATCTAGGTTGTTCCTTTTTTTCTGTACAATTTTAACTGTTATCTGATGAAACATAGTTTTGAGTTAACAATGAATGTCTTTCCCGGTTTTACGCTGGTTAATGGGGGTTAACTCTGAAATCATATTTGCAGTTACTATATAAGGTGTTTTCTCCCTCCTTTCGACATACCTTCGTGGTGTGATTAGAAGCATACTCGACGCGTATTCGACAGGTCCAGAGTTCGAGTCACGGCGAGTGCACTGCACATTTTTCACGTCTCCTTCTTCAAAAAAGCATAATAACTCTACAACTAAACGAAGAAATCTGGACTAAATGCGAGTTACAATGTATAACATCTACAGAAAAAATCCATAAATGTGCAATTATAAAAGTGGTTTGGTTTATTTGCTTTTTCGAAAACACTCGACGGCTATCTGCCTGAAGGGAAGGATGCGTTTGTGGAGGACTTTCTAAGGAGAGCTGGCTTATATACACTCTACACCTTGCGAAAACCCCATGCAGCCAGCCCGTTTGTTAGGATTCGAACTTCGGATCAAACTACCAGTGTTCAGTGACTTTACCGTTCTGCCGCTGCTGGGAAACTTGTAAAAATAGAGTGGGTAGTTTCAAGAGGCAATAAATGTAAACTAAAACTAATAAACCGGAACTTAATCTAATAAAACAGGAACATATCTGGATTACAGAGTGGGTGATGAAATTTTGGTCATATAATACTAAATAGGAAGCAAGCGGTCTAGTAAAGCAATCTTCATTCAAAACAATATAATTTATGACTTCCAAATTATTTATTGTAGAGCATGTTTTGAATAAAAAAAATTCATTACATTGGTGAAGCTACTTTGCAATATTGTAAATTTCAAGGTTTCTGTGAACGAATGCATTTATCATATACATACTTTTATTGTGATTTTCCGGATGCCTTTGTTTTGAGTCTTTGTAGATCTGCGGAAGAAACTGGTTCCCCAGTCAGGCGAGGTATAACAAGTTACCGTTCTAACTATTGTATAATTTTCTGCCTTTTCTACTTTTAGTCGTGATATAAACACCGCTTTAGTTCCGCTTTTTGTCGTGATTTGAATTTTTGATAAGTGTGCCTTGAACTTGTCTCACACAGTCAAAGCACGCTAAAATTTCAAAGAATTCCTTCAGATAATACCAAACAACTAGAAAAAACGCATTATCCGTTAAACCAGAATGTTGCGGCCTTATTATTTGAATGTTGCTTGAGTATTCCGTGAAATATTTCTACACGGCATGTTGCCAAATATCTGTCAACGCACATTGGATTCTATGCAAATGAAACTTCAGAACTTCTCATCTTTCAAGGTCGTTTCAGCGCAATTTCTTCAAACCTTGACTAACAGCACAAGTCTCTTTATCATGTCTTCAAATTTCTACCCGCTGGCAATAGTTAATGAAACGAGAAATATGCTGATATTAGACTGCTTTGAGATTAGCTTAGAAAATTAAACTACTATGCAAAATGATAGAGAAGTTTTAGATGCAGATTTGGCAGGTAAAGGTAACCAGAGCCATGGAAGAAAATATAAATTTAAAACTAAATGTAATTCCGATTATGTTTCTCAATTTATTTTTGCTACGGAACCATCGTTTTAGGTTTATAATATAAATTACGAATTAAATATTCAAGAATGTAATTGGTGTTCTTTGCATTTCGAGAGTTCAAAAGATAATTTAAAGCATGAAAAAAGACAAATGTAATATTAAATGAAATACAAAATGTAAATGATGTCTTTCTAGCTGTTCGTTTCTTTGAAACCTCTGTTTTCATTTTATAAAATAAATGTTGAATTAAATAGCCAAGAACTTAATTACTATTCTTTTAACAATGATTTTAGAAAACCTTTTCAGAAAGCGTGTTATCATATGGCAAAAGGTATGGAATAAGCGACTAATATTTTCAACTTCATTTAATGTTTTAAATTCTTTTCGTGATGTTTCGTGTATTTTTTTCCTTGATGTATCTGAAAAGCGTATTAGTCACATGGTGTTCAATCTGGACATCTTAGTGCTCAGCATGTCAGAGCCATCTTCTGGTTTGTTGAACGGCCAAATCTAATATAGAGACAGTTTTTCGTCCACTTCCCGTTTTTAAACAACTCTGTAAAACAGGAACAAAATTTGTTCTTAGCTACTCATCGCACAAAAGGCTTTTTGTGCTTTGTTTATTAGGCTTTTGTTTTTGTTGACATCTGTTTATTTGCTTCTCGACAGATGTCAACAGCCGTCATACGAGGCTAAGGTCATGAAAACAAGCAAAAGAATTTGAAAACTTCCTCTATAAGAGCGCATCATTTACTTCCTGATAAACACCAACACTTTTTGATTTATAGGTACTTAATCTACTATCATTATATTTCTCTTACTACTGAGAATTTGGACTACCGTTTGGTTTCTTAATCGTTAGAGTAGTAAATAATTTCATCACAGAACTTTCAATTAAAACAGAATAATTAATGTATAATATTTTAAGTATAATATATAATATAATATTGTGAAGCATATTACATAATATTGTACCTTACCCCAGTATCATTTTCAAACTTTTCAAATGCTTTCATTCTCCGATTCAAAGCATAGAATCTTGGTTTTGGTGGAAGCGGCGGCCATGCTTCAATGGAGCAGTACTGACCTCGGAAACCTCTATTAGGGACAGTTAACTCCACGCACTGGTCAAAAGAACCAAAGGCTGAGAGAGTTCCGGTTAGAATCCCGTTCATCATTTTGGCCGATGCATCAACCACTGAAAAAAAAAAAAAAAAATTGCACGAGTCATGATTATATTTCAGCGAGCATCTAGTATTCTAGAGGTTTAAGAACTCCTGAATTTATAGAGAATTTATTTCGTAAGATTAGCGATTCCCTTCCAAAAACTCTCAAGAATCTAAGATTCTTGAAAGAAATTGTTTAATTAGAAAGGACCTATTTTAATACAAGAAAAATTAAAATAAAAAAATCGGTGTTTTTCTGTTAATTGAACGCCTCTTAGCTCCGTGAAATCTAACTAGATATCAGCAAACGTAATAACACATAAAGCTTCATGGAAAAAAAGTAGAACTTGTACTAATAGTAATGTATCATATATTTTCAGGCATATATTATTTAATGAGCGCAATATGAAATTTATAGTTCTTTGATTCTTTTAGGCGAAAATAGATCGCTGTATACATGGGGAGTAGAAATGCTGTTCTTCCTATGCACACAGCGATTTATTTTCGCTTTAAATACTGCTGTCCTCGCCGTGTACGCAGCGATTTGTTTTTGCTTAAAAAGGCATCAAAGAAGTGCACGAATCCGGTATTGGGCATAGCCTTGGCATTGCACCTTCGACAGAGTCAATCTTCAAAACGCTCACTCAGATCTATGCGTATGTGGGAAGAGATACGATCCTGAGAATTACTTATTCACATGCACCATAACAACAAGTCTGCACTTGAGAAAACCAAGACTAGTAAAAGATGTGAATCCGTACCTCAAAAATGCGTAATCAGAGAGATAACAGCCAGATGAAGAATCAGCAACCCAGATGAGGAAATGCATAAGCCAAATAATGGATATCCTGGCATCAAGGAAATTCCTTTCTATATTCTTCTCATAGTTCTTAAAATTTCGAATAGTTTCCTTGTCTTGTACAAATCATAATTTGTCAGATGTGACAAAACAAGACATTTATTATAATCACTATTACATGCTTATTGTCTGTTATTATTATTGCTGTGATTGCTTTCTTCTTCTTATTATTATTATTATTATTACTGACTCCTGTTGCTATTACATTTGCTTGTTATTATTATTATTATTTTCATTATTATTACTAACTACTATTATATTTTAAAATTTATTACTCTTATATTTTAGTTTAAAATTCCACGCCGAACAAATATTAATTTAGAAATTAAACCAACAAAAATCACCGTTATATTTGCAAATTTTCACAGGACCAGTTTCGATGGTTTTACCGAACCATTAACCTCAGCTGTCAAATTGCAAATTTGCAATCATTTGCAATAGTATAACGCTTTTTAGTCCAAAGGGATTTGAATCCCGAAGGACTATTAGTTTCGTTTTGGCATTTTGCGTCGGACTCATAAATGTCGGTCCACTTTTCAAACTGTTGCCACAAAATGTTAGAGTCCTGCATTATATTTGAAGAAATTAAATAATGAAAAGTTTGCATAAATGTATGTATATTTCTCGTATTGTGATAAAACAACGGTACATAGAGTCATCGAATTTTGAATAACGTAATCCTCCAACGAATATGAGCATGTGGAAGACCCAATTTGAAATTTGTTTTATGATCGATTTCCTATTTTTTAAAACTTTGACGAATTTTTGATTAACAAACTCAAGGATTTCAAACCGAGCAATGGCAACGTTGTGCAGAAAAAACATTTTTATCTCCAGCGCGTGAGTCTCTGTATCGGAAATTCTAAAGATATGTTCGTTTTAAAACTATTTTGCGATATTGCTGTTGCACTGGATCTTATGGTTTAAGTGCGAGGAACATGATATTTAATAAAGAAAGGTAACACACAAAATGTTAAAAAACGCCCCTTTGGACGTAATTTAAAATCTGAAACATTTCAGACTTTTTTTTTTTTTTTTTTTTTTATTAATACTATTATGCTTATTTGCAAATTTATGAAAATTATACTGATTCTTGTCGTTTGAACTCCTCGTATTACTATTAGTTTTATAATTACTAAAGAGATTTTTAACGATTTTTCTGGAAAAACCAGATACCAAAATAAAAGATCAACCAATTCTCTGGAATGATTGACTTGAGATTTTCTTGCAACTGGATTCTTGAGTGAATTACAAATTTCAACTTGTATAAACTAAGAATTTTTAGAACAATTTATTAATAAGCGATGCTTAGAATTTGCATAATATAACACTTCTTCAAATTAATTTCCAAAATATTTGAATTTAAAAACATTACCCTTTTTTTCACAGAACATCTGCTGTTCTTAAATGTGCACCATCTCTTATAATATAAGCTAAGAAATATTCAAGCTCTGGAAATTACTTCAGAAAGGTCTAAGAAATCAGATGATTATAAAATGAAGCATTATTTTTTAATCCTAGCTCTTAAAACAATAAATAGCATGGTTGTTAGGATATTCATTTCTAATGTAAAACAGTTTGCGATAAAATTGCATAATAGAATAAAATAAACCCAAATTTTATTTTCTCATTATGGTGGCTTTAATTAAAAAAAATGTTCACTTTCGAATATTGCTATTGTTGTGCCATTAGTCGCCTTGTTTTTGTTAATTTGGCATTCTTTAATCAACCATTTTGATGGAATTTAATCCGCGTAGATGACAAGTATGTGAAAGAAAATATATTCTACATAAATATTCTAGTATGTCAGGATATACATGTGCTATTATATTTAATTTCTTTTTCCTAGAGCTATGACGCCAAATAAAATATTAGGATAAAAGAACAGCACGTCTTAACTATTTTATAGATATATCAGCAGCAATTTCTAAGAAAACTACTCCGAGCTATTTTATCAGACAGATTATATTAGCACAGAAATGCTTGAGAATCTCTCACTCGTATTGATAAGTTAATGCTTACTAGAAACAGGATAATTAGGATTTAATATAAGTAAAATATGTCACTTCAAAAGAAAAAAAAGAACGAAGAAATTAATTCCATGTTTGATTATTTTTACTACACAAAGCAACCTAATTTAATATTTTTAGCATTAAGAATGTCTTCAGCTTAATTTTCCCCTTTTTATTCCCTTTACATTATGCTTATCAGGCCATTTATTATCCGCAATGCAAAGTGTTGCCATTTCGCAAGGCATGAGATTTTTCATTTATCGGGCCAATTACCATTTCTCTGATACGTGCTCATCAAGGGTTTATTGTACTAATTTAATTTTATCAAAGATAATAACAAGTTCCTAGCTATAGCACTAAAGCGAGACGTTAAGAGAAGAGCTCTATCCCGGCAAGTTGATGTTGCCAAACCTATTGCTAAAATTTAGAATCTCACTCCTTATTTCAAATTTACTTCATTTGCATATTCTGCTGGAATACACAAGAGAGCAGAGATTCATAAAAGCTTCGACATGACAACACCATGACAACATGCATAGAAGAAAGCCATCGCATCTTGCAGTTTAATCAACTAAGAAATTTTTTAAAAGCAACATCTTTATTTCATTTTTAATACTATCTGAAGCTGATGAAATTCATAAACTGAAGAAACTGTAATTTGTAAACTGAATTTGTAACTGAAGAAAGATAATGCATTATTGATTCATATCACACGTAATCAATAATGCATTATCTTTCTTCAGTTACAAATATTGTTAGAACTACCGATAATTAATATTATTACAGGAAATTAATAATTTTTTATAAATATATTACAGCTTTATTGCATATATAACAAACATATTACAGCTTACTTTAATTTTAAATAAGTACCGTTTTTATTTAATTTTAAATAAGTACCGATTTTAAATAAGTACCGTTTTTAATAAGTCTTTTGCGCCATTAGTATAAATAAACATTGTTTCTAATGCCATGCAATAGAACAAGAATATATTACATGTATGTATGTACAGTAGGGTATAGAACATTTTTTGCTGGTCACCTAGCAATGAGTGTTTATTTTATTACAGTATTTAAAAAAGTTGCTTAAATATTTTTAAACTTGTAAACATTAAGTAATCTACTGTTAAAAGTGAAACAAAATCTGTAAGTAAAAACTTCATATACCTATTATAAATTTAAATGATACTTCAAAATTACACAAAAACTCTCAGCTGGATATATTATATATTAAATACATTTTAATACCAATTAAATACATCATTAAAAGTAAAATAAAATTGTACATTATTAATAAGTACTTTTAATGTTTTTAAATTGCTTGATTTCTTAATTAAAGTTTGATTAGAGTAATTAGCTAAACATTCCGCATTTAACCATTTTGCAACATTTCTGCTTTGGCGCAATGGCAGCACTTCCCTAGTCGCATGAATGATAAATACTCTAAAGATATGCTCTTTTTAAATTATTTTATAATATTGCTCTTGAATTAAATTTTATAGTTTAAGTTCGAAGAACATGATTTTTAATAAATAAAGGTAACACATAAAATGTTTAAAAAAACTCTTCTTTGGGCGTGATATAAAATCTGAAAGCTTTCAGATTTTTATTGTTTGTTTAAAATCTATTTTCAGTGAAGTACTACTTCAGAAAGGTATTGGAGCTGAACAATTATATATAGCGTAAAGTGAATTCATACATATAAATAAACTTACTTCTGAGTGCCCAAGGCTTTAAGCTTCTCAAATCAGAAACCCATAGCAGCAACGCTCGCCGACATTCACCCGACAGATGCAAATTTTCTGACGAAACAGCGGACATGAAATAAGGCATAGCCGTCTTAATAGCAGTCCCCGTAACCTTTTTGATTTTCTTGAAATTTTCTTCCCATTTTTTGATCGCATCTTCTTCAAGATGATCATGATCTCCACTATTGCTGTCGGAAGTCCCGTAACAAAAGACAAGAAGGTGAGAAGAGATGAGGAGGAAAATGAAGATCACGGCGGAATTCAGTTTCACCTGCCCCATGGGTGGACGGGTTCTTCACTCTCCTTTTCGTTGTTTCTCCTACAGGGTTTAGCAAGTAAATGAGGTGAGATTCAGATTCTGGTTTCGTTCTACATATGATAAATCGAGAAAGTGGCTCCGTCCATTGTTGAGGAGCTGTTAGTTATGGTAGCAGGGGTATATTCGATTTTCATACTTGTTGCGTTACTACATTGCTATTCTTGCTTCTAAAGTGTAAAGGGGAATATGAAAGAACAGACAACATATTTCTGATTTTAGGAAATATACGAAAATGTTTAGTTTAACTTTCTGCAATTAATTTTATTGTCAGTTTTTTAAACGTATAGTTAACTACACTTTGGCGTTATCAGTTCGTAATATTAAGTTTAGAGTAATCTTCAAATGTATTAGCATATTTTATAGTTTCCGGTTGGTGTTGCGTCTAAAAGAATCTAAAAATTTGGCAAACAGAAGTTTTATTAAACAAATATAAAATAGTTGCTTGTAACATTTCAAATGTTATGCTTCTTTAATTTAATTATTTTTTAATTTTAACACATATGAATATATATAAACAAAAGTCAAAATAAACAAAATAGGAACTGTCTACCTTATCTCCTCTCCCACCCTCACTTTTTTTTTAAAGATTTAATAGATTTTAGCCCAAAGGGCGTTAGTTTTGGGGCGTCAGTTAGTTCTGTTAATTTCGTTTTGCCATTTTGCTTGAAAACTTTAAATGTCGGTTCACTTTTCAAACTGTCGCCACCAAATATTACAGCCCTATATTACATTTAAAGAAATTAAACAATGAAGAATCTGCATGAATATATGTATATTTCTCACTTTGTGATAAAACGACGGTACCTAGAGCCATCAAATTTTGAATATAGGCATCTGGAAGCCCAAATTTGGAAACTGGATTTTTTTTTTTTTTTTTTTTTTTTTAAAGTCCAAAGTGGCTTTGTCCCTGAAGGACTATTGTTTTCGTTTTGCGATTTTGCGTCGGAACCCTATAAACGGCGTAACACTTTTCAGATCGTTGCCACCGAATACTATCTTGTGTATTATATTTGGAAAAAAAAAATTAAATAATGCTGAATCTGCATAAATGTATGTATGTTTCTCGTATTGTGATAAAACAACGGTACCTAGAGCCATCCAGTTTTGAATGGCGTAATCCTACTGCGAATATGGGCATCTGAAAGGTCCAAATTTGAAATATGGAATTTGTTTTATGATCGATTTCATATTTTGTAAAACTTTAACGAATTTTTGCTTAACAAGCTCAACAATTTAAAAGCGAGCAATGGCAACAATCTACGGGGTAAAAACCTTTTTATCTCCAGCGCGCGGAACTGTGTATCGGAAATTCTAAAGATATGCTTATTTTAAAATTATTTTGAGACATTGCTGTTGAACTGAATTTTATGGTTTAAATGGAAGGAATATGATATTTAATAAATAAATGTAACACACTAGACGTTAAAAAAACGCCCCTTTGGACGTAATTTAAAATCTGAAACCTTTCGGATTTTTTTTTCTTACCTTGTTTTTTTTAGTCCAAAGGGGCTTTGTCCTTGAAGGACTATTGTTTTCGTTTTGCGATTTTGCGTTGGTTCAGTATAAATGTCCGTTTCACTTTTCAAACTGTTGCCACCATACGTTAGTGTCCTGTATTATATTTGAAGAAATTATATACAGTACACTCCCGATTATCCGCGGAATTGGGTGGCGCGGCCGCTGCGGATAACAAAAAACGCGAATAATCCGAAAAAAGCTAAAAACGGGTATAGCAAACAAGAAAACAGTCATTCTTTAAACTTTGAAAAATCTTTTTATGTACAATAAAACGTAAAATAAACAGCAGGAAATGTTTAACTAACGCTTAATATTTTAGCTTATTACGCTTAAGCTAAATGCAATTCGAGAAATTGGACCTCTTCCCATGAAGTCCAATTTCTCGAATTCCATGTCGCTGCTTAAAACGAGTCAACCAGCCAGAAGACGCATCAAAATTTCCTTTCAGGCCTAACAACTCAAAAAAAGGTTTTTGCCTTCGCCTCAATGATAGGACCATTTACAGAAGTACCCTCTTTTCGAACTTGAGCTAACCACTCTGTTAATGCTACGTCTAGCTCATCAAAGGTAGAACCCATCATAGTTTTTCGCGTTTTCATTGCGGAAGCACTGTCCGACATTGATGCAAAGTTCACCAGTTTGTCTTTTTGCTTTAAAATGTCACGCATGTTGTTTCCGCGATTCCGTAATCCAATTCCATCTGCTGCCTTGTAGCGCCGTTTGCTACTTTGGAAATTAATTCTAGTTTTTGTGCAATCATCAATACAACCTTCTTTCGTTTTCCTGACATTTTAAATCGGTAACGAAAAACACAAAACCAAAAAGCACAAGCACTGAACACAGTAAAAGATAAGACATTAACTCGACCGGTTCGCAAACACTATCCGGCTTAAACTAACAATGGCGAGTGGGAGGAAGTGGACGTGTCAGTAAGATTAAGACTTGAGAGGGCGGTGGAGCGGGCACTGCAAAGGTGAGTAAGAAATCACTTACTCATCAGAGGAGAAGGTTCCGAGAAGGCCTAGGATATTTTTGCCATAAATAAGCACGATGTTAGCAAATTTAACGCTTCTCTCACTTTTGTGAACATTCTACAACACGGTTTCCTATAACACCATCTCTCTCTAACACGATAAGAAAATTGCCAAACAATACCCAGTCTCAAGAGAGCACAATCACCAGATAATAATGAAGAAACCTCACTATCGCATAAGGTGAAGAACATGAGGTCGCAATAAGTGCTCTAAAACGCACAACCTGCAAGTTTGTATCAAGTTATTCCAAAAGTGTATGAAAAATATTTTAATGCAACTTTTAAACCACGTCTCCGAAGCATAATGAGCATAGCTTTTAATACCATGTCGCTTTTTCTTGATATTCAATGCCAATGGATTTTAGTGATTTCTTGTTATCATTGCTTACTCGCAACTTCCTTTGCTCTAGTAGTCAACTTAGTACTTTAATCTCATTGACTTCTTACAGTTATAGGGTATTTATTTTCTCTCTCCTTCCAGCATGCCTTCGTGCTGCAACGGTAGCACACACGGCGCGTATTCGAGAGGTCCAGGTTCGAGTCCCGGCGAGGGCATTGTTCATTTTTCACCTCTCCAGCATTAAAATAAGCTGATGACTGCATAGAAATTGTTCATTCATTCGTTCAGACTTGAGCTTATTCACTACCTAAGAAATACGTGTAGCCGTTCAAAATAAAAATAGCAGTAAAAAGATGACGAAAGAAATGATAACAATAAAAGTATCTAAATTTCTGCAGCAGCTGAAGCATTGTTTCTTCTTGAAAGTATAATTGTTTGGAATGAATATAAAAGTATATCAGATATATACAGCTCAAGCTATTTCGCGGAAAAATATATACGATGTTAAATAAAATACTTAATGTTTAAATATAAATAAATTTTACAATTATACAAAAATTTAAAAAAAAAAAAAATCTAAAATGTTTCAGATTTTAAATTACGTCCAAAGGGGCGTTTTTTAACATTTTGTGTGTTACCTTTCTTTATTAAATATCATGTTCCTCGCACTTAAACCATAAAATTCAGTTCAAGAGCAATATCGCAAAATAATGTTAAATTAAGCATATCTTTAGAATTTCCGATATACAGTCTCGTGAGCTGGAGATAAAAGTATTTTTTTTTTCTATATAACGTTGCCATTTCTCGCTTTTAAAGCATTGAGTTTGTAAATCAAAAATTCGTTAAAGTTTTACAAAATATAAAATCTATAATAAAACAAATTCCAAATTTGGGATTTCAGATGCCCATATTCGCAGTAGGATTTCGTCATTCAAAATTCGATGGCTCTATGTACCATTGTTTTATCACAATGCGAGAAATAGACAATCATTTATGCAGATTTTTCATTATTTAATTTCTTCAAATATAATGCAGGACTCTAACATTTTGTGGCAACAGTTTGAAAAGTGAACCGACGTTTATGAGTCCGACGCAAAATGTCAAAACGAAACTAATAGTCTTTCGGGATTAAAATCCCTTTGGACTAATAATTTTATAGTTGTTATTGTACATTTTATTTTAAGAGTCCTTTTCATTATGTTTAAAGGGCGGCCGAGCGGAAAAGTCGCCGAACACTGGCAGTTCGGTCCGAGGTCCGAATCCTGCAAACAGGCTGGCTGCATGAGCGTTTTCGTGGTTTTCCACATGTGTAACGTATATACGAACCCAGTCTTCCCTAGAAAGTCCTCCACAAAGGTCTCCCTTCCCTTAGGCAGATAGCCCTCGAGGCTTTGACGTAATCACATCACATAAACATTACTTTTAAAGGGATTATCGAACTCATTTTGTTACCACTGCATTCTAGGTTGCACTGTGTTTTATCACTATTTGGAAGTGCATTATACTGCGAGGAATAAATACTAAACAAATCATGCAATTCCATTAAATTTCATAAAGAAAATTATTATTAGCCCAGAAGAGCTGTTAGTTTCGAAACGGCATTTTGCACTGAATCACTAAAAACTTTCAGTCACTTTTCAAATTGTTGCCATTCTGTATTTTATTTAACGAAATTAAATAATGAAAAATCCACATAAGGGTATATATATGTTTCTCGCATTGTGAGAAGAAAACGGTATCTATAACCACCAAATTTTTAATAACGTCGTCTTCCACCCGAATATGGGCACCCGGAAGCCCTAATTTTTAATTTCGAATTTGTTTTATTATCTCTTTCATATTTTGTGAACCCTTAACGAATTTTCGATTAAAAAACTCAACGCTTTCAAAGCGAGCAGTAGCAGCACTGTACAGAACAAAACATTTTTATCTCTAGCGCGCGAGTCTGCGTATCGGAAATTTTAAAAATATGCTGTTTTTAAATATTTTATCTCAAAGTTGGGTTAGCTCAAATGCTCTCGAAAAGTATATGTGTATGCATATGAAAAAACGTCCCTTTGGATGTAATATAAAATTTGAAAGCTTTCAGAATTTTTTTTTTTTTTTTCCATGAGACTAAACTCATTTTCAGATTTGTACACGTGTTTAATAAAAGTTGA